AAGAAATTAAAGAAGAAATTAAAGAAGAAAAGAAAGAACAACCAAAAGCAATTGACATTTCTTCATTTATTCAAGACGATAAACAAGATGATGACAACTTATTTTAAATCACCTTTTCTTTAACGAATTGATTTATTCATGAATTTCTTTCATAAATTGTTATAATTTTTACTTTATTTAAAAAGAAGAAACAAAAAAATTGAATTATTTGTTAAACCAAAAAAATGAAAGATAATCATTCTTTTAGGTAGAAGAAATTAACTAAAATAAACAAACAAGTGTTTGTCATTAATCAAGAGCAAAAACAAATGGAGAAGAAGTTTTTGGACCAACGGAACCATAGATAGAGACAATTTGTTCAACAAACACACAACTAACATCTACAATTCTAATTTTTTTACAAAGTTTTACAGCAGGTAATTGTGAATTAATATGAGAATTAGTAATAATAATTTTATCTATAGGACTTTGTTCTAACCTTTGAATAATTGATTCTTTTGTAACAGCAAAATGAGAAATAACACACGTAACCTTTGTTGCTCCATGTCTTAAATAATTTTCTGCTGCAGCAATTGCAGTTTTTCCTGAACGAATAATGTCATCATATAATACTACATGTTTTCCTTTACATTCGCCAATAGGTTCTTTCATAATTTCTGGTGAATTTTCATTAAGTTCTCTTGGAGCTCTACATAAAACAATTCCAACTCCAAAAAGATTTGAATATGTTTCTACCCATTTTGGTCTTCCTAAATCTGTTGTACCAAAGACTACATCTTCATTTTGAAAATCAACTTCTTTAGCAATAGCATTATACAAAGGTTTTTGAGCATATAATTCCATTGCTTGAGTTTTTTCAAAATAATGAATAATACCACTTGTATGAAGATCTAATAACAAATACAAATTACCTAATCCACATGTAGAAATACTTGAAAGCATTCTTACTGTTGACTTACAAGTAACTACTTCTCCTGGTAACGAAGCTCTATTCATTGTTTGATATAATAAATAGGGAATAACAAACACTCTTCTTCTTGTTCCTAATTCAGAAAGTTCAAGTCCAAGACGAATTAATTCTAACAGTTCTTGATCATCAACCATTGAACAAACAATTAAAACATCTTTTCCAATTAATGATGTTTTATTTTGAATTGTAAATTTATAATATAACTCTCCATCAGAAAATTGTTTTCGGATAACAGGAAGAACTGGATATCTAAGCTTTTCAGCTAAAAGATCAGCAAAGTACTTACTTCTTTTCGTATGTACAATCAATGGGAGATTAAGATAGTTTGACATGTGTAAAATTATAACTAATTTTAAAGTTGGACATTATTAACTTTATTTCCAACCCTAAATAATAACTCCATCAATTATTAAAGCAAATAAACTCGTTTTTCGAATATTTATTTTTTATTTTCATTAAAAATGTAGTTTTTGCACAAAACTACTTTCATTATTTCTATAACTTTAAGCAAGTTTTTAATTAAAATAATTAGAAAATTCCTTCAATAAAATGTATTAATTTAGTCATAACACCACTTATTAGTCACTCCATTCATCATCGTCATCTTCTTCTTCAGATGTGTCAACCTCAATATCTTTACGTCTGTTTGCCATAGCGTTAGCAAGCATACTAGTTAGATCATCTTGTTGTGCCACAGTCATTTTCTTTTCTGGTAATGGTTCAGTTTTCTTAAGGACATGTCCTCCTTTGCTAATATCATCAAGAAATGATCTTCCACCAGTTGGTAACGAGACAGCAGGTGTAGTTTTTGGAGTAGGAGATGAAGTATTTACTGTAGGAGGAGGTGGTGGAACATTTAAACTAGGAGGAGGTGGTGGAATATTCAAATTAGGAGGGGGTGGTGGATTACCTGATGGTGGAGGAATATTATTATCTGAACGAGAAGGTAATGTAGGTGGTACCTTACGACTAGGAAGAGGAGGTGGTGGGCGTCTAGTTTGAGTATTAGGTTCTGATGTTTCATTATTAGATGGAATAATTGGAGCAGAAGGTGTTTCTAATTCATGTTCAGATTTTTTAACAGCTTGAGGAGAATTAGTACTAGGGACGGCTGTATTTTTATTAGAGTTTGGAATATCAATTTCTTCAAAATCCTCTAACTCAGCATTTCTTTGTTTACCATTGGGTAAAGAAGTTTTGACTAATGAATTTTCTGAACCAGGAGTAGCTGTTAATTGGTCTAATACACTTTGGTCACATTTACCTTCTTTGACAGCTTGTTCAACTGTAGCAATAAGTAATTTAACAGTTTCTGGATTACATAAATCTTTTCTCTTTAATCCAGCTGCTTTTAAAACACCTCTTAATTCTGGTGTTAATTTTTTGAGGTCAATAAGAACTTGTTTTTTAGCTTTAATCAATTCTCCAACTTCTTCACCAAAATTTGTACTAGAAGTAGCCATTTTTTGAATTTCAGCTTCATTTGCTTTCAATACATCCACTATTTGTTGTAGTGCATTCTTTTCTTTTTCAAATAAATTACAAAATAGTTGAATCAATCCACAATATAATTCTCTTACCATTTTAGTTGTATCATGAAGTCCTTGAACAATACATTGTTGTTTTAAAGTTTCTGTTTGTTTTACTTCTTCCATAAATTGTTTTAATTCAGTGGGTTGAGCCTTTAACTTTTTTTGTGATAAAGCAATATTAGAGTCAGCACGTTTCAAATCATTTCTATACCTATCTTCAAAATTAGAAACCATACGAGGGTATTCAGAAGCATTCTTTTTTAAAATAGGTATTATTTGATCATTAAAATATCTAGCTGTTTCATTTCTTCCAGCAAACATAACTTGTAAAATATCAATAATATTATTTACTCCTTGATCTAAATCATTAATTCCAGTATTACTTTGTAATACCAATGAATCAGTTAATATTTTAGTTTGTGTTGCATGAGCAGATTCACTTTTACAATAACCTTCACTAGCAGAAATCAATTTTTTATAATTTTTCATAGCTCCTTTGATAGCCTTATATCTTAGTTACTTTTCATTTCAAAAAAATAAAGAAAATTAATCCAAACATTAATATTCTTTTTAATATACTCTTCCATTTTTTTTTCATCTTTCTTTTCTTTCATTAAATACGTGTTGCTCATACTGCGTTATATGAATATTTTTAGTTCAAATAAATCTCATTAGATGACAAATTTTTTTTTATTTTCTAAAAACAAAAAAAACAATTTTTATGATATAAAAAACTAAAATTTCTTTTAATAAACATCTTAAAAAACTAAACTCATAAATTAACCTTCAAAATTAATGGATACTCCAATTCAAATTCAAAAACGAAAAGAAGGGTATAAAAGAGTGATTTTTTGTAGTACAAAAATTATAATATTAAATATAATAGTAAATGGAATATTATTAATTTTATATAATTCAATAACAAAAAGAAATATAACAAGTATTATTATTATTTCAATAACTAATGGAATTAATGTTATTATACTTCATTGGAAATGTACAGAAAATAAAATATTTAATGATGAACCAGGGTTATATTTTATTACTAAAAGAGGATTAAATTGTTTAATAACAATTGTTATAAGTTCTATTGTTTTAGGAATTATTTCATTTTATGAATATGGTATATTAGCTCAATATTATATAGAAAATACTTTAATTGATGAATCAGTTACATTAATGATTCATTGTGGAATTTATTATGGATTGTCTTCTTCAATCTTTTATTTATTTTTAGATAGATTATATATTCCTTATTATTCCGTTCTTCCTGAAACTAAATCAAATTGGATACAACAAACATTAAGACAAAGTATTATTACATTTATATGTAATTTGTTTATCTTTGTATTTATAATTTTTACAGTAAAAATGTATTATTTAATGATGTATGGTTTTCAACCAATTGTTTCTCGTTTCAGTTTTTCTAATATTTTTACATTAATACCAATAATATTAATTTACAGTATATTTAGTAGATTATCATTTAATTCTCTAAGTGAAATCATGAGTATTGAATTACCTTTAGAAGATAAATTTAATTAATTTACTTTTTCTTTTATTAATTTATTAAGTTAATTAAAAAATATAATAAAAGTATTATAATAAAATCATACTTATTCTTTGTTTTTTTTTTTCTTTTAATTAATTTAAAGGAAGAAATTTAATAGGAAGTTGCCATTGATGGTCTTCAATTAAAAATGCTTCACACCAATTTTTCCATAATGATTTTTTAAATTTATTTTTATATATTAATCCTGAACTAAGAGAAGAAATAAATTGTAAACATTCAATAGTAGTACAGTTAAATGAAATAAAAATTGTTTGAACCAATAAAAGAATAAGTAATGAAATACCACAAGAGAATGAAATACATAATCCAACTAATGAAGGAACAAAAGAGAAATTAGGGATTAAAGAATGGTAATAAAGAATTAATGCTATTTTACTAAAATTTGTTATTGTAACTATTGTTCCATATAAAAGAAATAAATAAAAATATCGAATATTATGTAATCCAATACAACAATTCATCCATGAACAATGATGATCCATTCTTAATGTACATCTATTTAAATTAATATATTTATTTCTTTTCTTCTTTTTCTTTTTGTTTTGTTTATTTCTTTAAAAGATATAAATTAAAAATATTTAAATATCAAACGAATTACATGTTTTACAATGATGAACTCTAAAATATTTTTCTTTACAACATATTTTACAATATCCTGTTCTTTTAAATGAATAATAACGAAATGAAATTTTATTTTTTGATGTATTTTTACATTTTATTAAGAAATATTCAATACAGAAAAAGCAATACCAATTAATACTTTGTATACAAATATTATTTAATGAACTAATTGGATATATTAAATTATATTGTGGTATTATATTAAAACTACTTAAAATAAATAATAATACTGTTAATAAATGTACACAATAATATGCAATTATTGATAATGAATGTTCAATCGAATCATAAAATTTATTAAGTTTCCTTTCTTTTGAATTCATTTTTATTTATTTAGTTTATCAGATTAAAATAAAAATATTTTTATTTGAAAATTAAAATAAAGAAAGAAAACAAAAGCTTTTTTTCAATAGGTTTGCAATGAATTATCTCATACGTTCTTGTATGATGTTTCAATGTCAAGTTGAGTCGCTTTTAAAACTAAAAAACTTAAGTTGATTTATTACTCATGTCTTTCATTTTATCAGCAACAAAGAGTTTATTTTAACCTTAGAAAAAAACTCTGAAAAAGGTCTTAAAAATCATCAGCTTTACATCCTTACACTGAAGGGTTGTAAGCTGATGATTGAATAAAACCATTGTCATTACAATTTAACCAATAGAAGTTGTCATTATTCTCAATAATTGGTGTCTCAACTGTGGTTAACATAAAATAATAATTATTATTTGGCTCTATATAATTATTATAATAAGTAAAACTGCTAATCAAATCACAAGACCCATTTTGAGAATTGTAATAATTAATAAATTGTTGATCTTCATTAATTGGCATTGGTGGAAGTTCATTATCATACTGAGAACTTGTTTGTGCATTAAATGTTGCTTCTAAAAATTCATTTTGTGTATTTAGTTCGTTTAGTTTTCTATACTCACTTTGTTCAGTTTTTATTGGCTCAATAGTAATAACTCTAGTTTCATCATCTTCATCGTCTTTCCTAACTTCACTCACATAACTTGGTCTAACAATACATTCCTGACAAATAACATCATTAGCTGAACCAATATGTGAAGAAATAGAAATAGGTTGCATCATACGATGAAGTGGTTTAAGATTGAATTCAGTTGGTAATTTAAAGTTGTTAATAAATGATGATAATGGGAGCTCAACATTAGAAATCATCAGTGAAGTATCACGCTTGTGACCACGGACAACACCCTTGAGCTCCTTATTGAGTAAACCTCCAATACGAGCGATGTCCTCTCCACTGATGACAATTGCCCCCAAAGATAAAACACTAATACGTGACATTTTTAATGTAACAGAAGAATTTTTAGTATTCTTTAAAACAATTTTCCATCCTAATTGTTCAAGCATACAAATTAATGAATTGTTAGTAGCGGCTGTATGATTTCTTTTATTATATTTAGTATAATGACTTTTACTTTCATCAACTGTCTTTCCACTTGTATAAATCAAATGTTCGATATATTCAGCAAAATTGTATATTTCTTCATCAATTATTACTTCTTTAATATCCATAAATTGACAAGTGTCTGAACTTTTTCGTGGACTTTGAATAATGAATTTGATTCCATATTGAGTAAGAAGAGCCATTAATGTTGTTTCTTGTTCAGCTTCAAATGAAACAGAAATTCGTTTGGCTTCAGTGCCATTTTTGGTGTTTCTTAATGCAGAAGACATCACAGTAACTGAAAAAAGTTTTCAAATCTAAGTTGTTCTTCCCCATTTATTAGGACCCTTTAGTTTTGAGTCATTGAGAATAACAATCCATTATTCCTTTTACTTAATCAAATTAGTATAGAAGGGTATAGAAATAATTATTTTTTATTGAAAGTCCTTTGAGGTTGAGTTTAAATATCCTAATCTTCTCAGTTTTTCCCGAAAATATCTGGATATAACAGAAAGAACAAAAATTTTACTTTTTTTTTCATTAAAAAGTGATACTTCAAAAATAATTTGAGTGTAATTAGTAGTTATTTTTATTATTTATAAGATGAAAACTCAATATACTAAAACTAATATTCTGCAAAAAGAAAAAATTAAAGACTCATAAATCTTGTTTAATACTTTGATTAAATAAAATTTTATTAACCCTAGTTATTTTTAAAAATAAAACAAGAGAAGAATAATCTTTATTTATTTTTATTTTTTTTTTCTTTATTGAAAAGAAAAAAGATATTCTTGAAGTATCAATGGCACTTTATTGATGTAATAAGAAAATTGCATAAATATGTTTTTTCATTTTATAATATGTTTTTATAATGTTATTGGATAGAATAATTTGAAAAAAAATTCTTTTTTTTGTAATACTTTTTTAAATGGGATAAATAACATAATATTAATTGAATTACAAAAATAACAAAAAAGCCAAAAAATAACGAAAAAAATAAAAATAAAAAAACAAAACTTAAAAAAACAAATTAAAATCTCCCAAATAATGAGCAAAGAGCCTAAATTACCAAGACAACCAAATACACAGAAAAAAGTTGCTTCAATTAATGACCCATCAGTTGCAAAGGATCTTAATCCTATTTATTGTACAATAATTGAAGATGGAATACGTAAAGAAAAAGAATATGAAAAAGTAAAATTATTAGGAAGGGGTGGTTTTGGAACAGTATTTAAAGTAATTGAAAAAGGTACTAATCAAGAATATGCAGCTAAAGTTATTCGTAAAGAACCATTAAAAGGAGTGTTTTTAACAAAACTTAAAAGTGAAATTGAAATACATAATTCATTAGATAATTGTAGAATAGTAAAATTACAAGATGTATTTGAAGATAATAAATATGTATATATTTTACTTAACTTATGTAATCAAGAAACATTAAAAGAAGTATTAGTTAAAAGAAAGAAACTACATGAACCAGAAATAGCATATTGGATGAAACAAGTATTAGAAGGAATAGTATATCTTCATAGTTGTAAAATTATTCATAGAGACTTAAAATTAGCTAATATCTTTATTCATAATATGAATGTTAAAATTGGTGACTTTGGTTTAGCTGCTAGAATAGATCAAGAACATAAAAATAGAATGACTATGTGTGGTACTCCAACATCAATGGCACCTGAAATTATTGCAAAAACTGGTCATTCGTATCAAGTAGATATTTGGGCATTTGGTGTTATGTTATATTATTTAAAATTTGGAATTACTCCTTTTAATTCTTCAACAAGAGAAGTTGTATATAAAAGAATTGAAAAATGTGAGTTCTCATTTCCAAAACGTCCTATTTCTGATACATTAGTAAAATTAATTAGTGCCTTATTACAAAAAGATTCTTCTTTACGTCCAAGTGCATCAGAAATATTAGAATATGCATTTTTTGCACCAAACAGAGTTCCAAATAGTTTACCTGTAGAAGCGTTATCAAAAGATATTGATTGTACAATGTTAGAGTTTGGAGGAAGTGGTATAAATGATATAATTTCTATTCATGACAACCCAAGTGAATCTATTATTGCTTCACTTAAAATGATTTTATCTAAAAGACCAGCAGAAAATGCATGTATTATTTCAGGGTCAGAATATAATTATATTGTTGATTATCTAGATAAAACAGATAAGTATGGTGTATTATATATGTTAGATGATGGAACTATTGCAGCTAATTTTAATGATAGTACTTCTATGTTTATGAGTAATGGATTTTATACTTATTTCGCTAGAGATATGAGTAGACTAGATATTGAAGCACAAAAAATTGATTCACAAGTTCATGACGTTAATAAAAAATGTCGTATTATTAATGGATTTTGTAAACAACTAAAAGGAGGTAATCCAGAAAAAACTGGATTAAAAACTTGTCTTGTTCGTAAGTTTATTGTAAGAGAAGACTTTAATGTATTTTTATTTACAGACAACTCACTTCAAGTTTTCTTTACTGGAACAAATCCAATATCATATTTTGTTGATCCGTATAATATGATATTAACAATTCTTAAAAGTTCTAATGAAAAATATACATGTGCTGTTGATTGTCATAAAGCTATGTTATGGGACCCTGATGCATCCCAACATTTCAGTCTTTTAGATTTATTATTACAAGAATTCTCTAATAAAATTGAAATGGTGTAATGATATGAAAAAGAAAATAATACTTATCAAATGATTGAATCTTTTTCTATTTTATATTATTTATTTATTACTTTTATTTTTTTTTGTTATCCAAAAACATATAAAAAAAAAGAAAGTTATAAAAAAATATTGATTTTTAATGAGTATGTAATGTAAGATATTCTTCGTATTGAGTTAATATCAATAACATTGAAAAATTATTACTTATTTGTGCATAATCCATACACTGACTAAATACCTCCTTAAATAATGATGATTCTTCATCATCAATAAGATAACTTAATGTCATTGCAACTTCAATAGTAAAATATTGACTTAAATTCCATGTTTTTTGAGAATAAAATAAAATAATCTCCTGAATAATACGAAGATAAATTTGATGAATACAATTTGATTCATTGACAAGTAATTTACCAAAATCTCGAATAAGAAAAGCTAACATTAAATCCATTTCTTCATTACTCATATTAAGTGATGTCACATCATGAAGTAATTCATCTAATTGACTTTGTTTTTCTATTCTATATAATCAATATATAAATAATTATTAAATAGACTGATAAAAACAAACATTTCAAGGTTATTAAGACTTTGTTTTGTTAATTTAGAACTACTCTTATTTACAGTCGGTTTATAAAATACTGAAAGATTAGACATAAAAGGATAGTTATAACTCTCTTTTGTTAAATATTTGTATCGTTCATTATAAACTCGAACAAATGCAGCCATAATATCTGGTGTTGGTGAACAAAGAACTCGATATAATAATGAAGGAATAAGTGTTCTTACTAATAACTCATACTTTTCATCACTAGCTAATTGATAAATAAATTGACCAACACAAACTGTTAAATTATTATGGATTATTTCATTAATTTTTTGAATAATACTAGAATTTTCAACAATAGTCTTACACTTTTTATCGTCTAATTCATTTATCTTCATTCCTAAAATTTCTTCCCAATTCACGTTCTCACTCATCAACTTCTTCAACTTAAAAATTTTTTTATTTTTTTCTTTCATTTTTTTATTTCTTTCTCCTTTCAACAATCTTCTTAACCCTAATTCAATTTACCATTCTTTCCAATGGAACATCATAAATCAGGTAGTTTATCTCAAAAGAATAAACCTTTTAAACGTAGGACTGGATCTAAAAGACAACAAAAGATTAAAGGAAAAAAGAAAACTGAAGCAGTTTCTTGTAGACCAATTTTGGCTGACCCAAAGGAAGTTAGAAGAAACCAACAAAAACAAAGACAAATGGCTTCAAGACAAAAACAATTAGAAAGAAATAGAAAAGAAAAAATGGGAATTGGTGCTCCAAGACTTGTTGGGTTTATGAGTCTTGGAGGTGGAAATGTTCAACAAACTGTTCAAACATTATCTCAACATTGGACTGTTGCAAGTGTTAGGGGTGATATTACATATGTCAAAACAGAATTTAATAAACGATTAGCTCTTTGGTTTACACAACAAGATATTTGGAATAGAATGGATGTTGGTAAAATTGCTGATATTATGGTATTTGTCATTGGAGGAGAAACAACACCAGAAGAAGAAGAAAAATTAGATTTCTTGGTTGCCCAAGGATTAGGTGATATTGTTTTATTAGGAGAGAAAGGAAAATTAAAGAAAGGAAGGTGGTCTGGAATGAGAGTATATGATGCAGAGAAAGAAGGGGGATTAATTGTTAGAAATTTGTGTGATATGGCTGTTAAAACTAAGATTGAAGGACCTGGGTATTTTGTTATTGATTCAGCAGAAAAGAAAGAAGATGGAGTTGTTATCAATGGGTATGTAAGAAGGTCACAATTAAGTCGATTATATAGTGGGTATATTGTTGGTATTGGAGATGTTAGTGTTAAGGCTATAGGAACTGATATTGACCCTTATGGTGTTGGAAATAAAACTGAGCATTCATTTGAGATAGAACAAGAAGAGGTAGATGAAGAAGAAAAAGAAGAAGAAGAATCTAATGAAATGAGTGAAGAAGAAATTTCAAAACCTCAAAACAATACTACTACTGTAGTTCATATTACTAAAAAAGTACCAGTTGGAGCAGGAAGTTATACAGGAGCTTGGATTGTTGGTGATGAAGGAGAAGAGCTTGAAGAACAAGTTGTTGAGGAAGTTGAAGAAGATGATATGAATGTTGATGATGTTTTAGATATGGAAGAAGAAGATGAAGAACATCTTAATGAAACTGATGAAGAAAGAACAAATAGGTTATTTAATGAATATATAGAATTTCCTGATAGATATAGAGTTAAACGAGGAGAGTCAGCTAAAGAAACTTTTAAAGGGTATAGAGGACTTAGATCATTAAGACAAAGTGAATGGGATTGTGATGAAGAACTACCAAAAGAATATAATGATCTTGTTCAATTTGATAATTATAAAAGAATGTGTGAATGCTTTAAAGATGTAGAAGATGGAGTTGAAGAAGGGACATATGTTTCAGTTTATATATCAACACCACAATATGCAGGTTCTTTAGTAAACAAAGTTTTTTGTTCATTAAGACAATATGAAAATGAACAATCAATTATACATGTATTATTTACAATAGAACCAGATTCATTACCATTAAAATCAAATACAACATTTACAATCCAAATTGGAGATAGAAGATATCAAAGAAATATTGTATTTACTGAAAATGGAATGATGGGAAATAAATATAAAATAATTCGATGGGCTGCTCCTGGTAGTTGTGTTATTGGATCATTTTATGGATATATAACATATCCACCAGCACCTGCGATGTTATTTATGAACGTTGATGGAAATGAAGAACTTGTTGCTACTGGAACAGTAGATAATGTAGATCCATCAAGAATATTAATCGAAAGAGTATTATTAACAGGAACACCAATTAAAATTGGTAAAAGAAAAGCAACAATTAGAGGATTATTTACTCAACCATCAGATGCTAAATGGTTTAAACCTATTGAATTATTTACAAAACAAGGAGTGTGTGGAAATATTTTATGTTCTTTAGGTGAAAAAGGTTTAGTTAAATGTACATTTGAACAACAGTTAAAATCAAATGATGTTGTAACTTTAGCATTGTACAGAAGAGTTTTCCCTCTTCCACCACTTGTTTCTGCTAATTGATTGAGTTTTTAATTTATTTGTTCAATATAAATTATTATTTAAAAAATCAATCATTTAAAAAGCAGCTTCATAAAGTTCATTTAATTCATCCATTTGTCTAATAAGTTCTTTACAACCATCTTCCATTACATCAAAAGGAGTTTTTTTGCTTGATTTTTGTGTTTGAATTCTGAAAACAACTTTTGTATCACTTGGATGAGGAATACTATATCCGCACAAATCTGTGTCTGGTAAATTTGCAATAACATGTCTTAATGGGTTAGCAAAAGTGTGATCTTCTCCTTCGATAGTATAACTAATACCGTTTGACATCTATCAAATTTTAAATCTAAGTTTTTTTTAGGGTTTTTATTTTTTTTCATTTTTATTGATACTTTCATTCACATTAAATTTCATCTTTTTTTTTTTTTCATTTAACATATTTCCTTTTTCTTTATTTCTTTTTAAAAAAATCTTCACTTCTTAATTCTTTTAATTCTTGATATTCTTGTTTGAGTCATTTCTTTATTTAGAATAAATCTATATTCAACTGTCATACTCTCTTGTTCAATATATTTCATTTGATTCATTCATATATTATTGATGATATTCACTAATTGTTGTATTTTTTTATTACTTTTATTCTATACTTCAACTTTTTTTAATTATTTATAAAATTCATATCAGTTTATTATCAGAACATCCTTTTATTATAGAGAATGATTAAATCATTTTTAAGAGAAATTGATTTGAATGATATCAATTATCTTAGTTATCATAATTTTAACATCTATTCTATTTTTATTAAGATTAATGACAACAAAATATCTCTTTTTTATTTTGACCTCAATGTTAATACAAAAGAAATAATCTCAAAACAACACAAAAAAAAAGATAATAAACTGAAGTTTAAATTAGTGAAGATAAGAAATCATATCAGAAAGATCTCTTTTTATCCAGTCTGCACGATTTAGCATTTTCTCTAATGATTGTTTAATAGTATTTTCAGAACCTACAGCTGGATGGTCGATAAAGAATTGAGTGTAATATTGATATTTTTCATGAGATGAATAATGTCCTAAAAGTCCTTCTAAAATCCAATTTCTAATAGAAGACATTCCTGTACCAAATTTCTCATTAATATAATCAATATGACTTTCTACCCATTGACAAGGAAGTTCACTTTCACCTAATAATGAAAGAATCATAATAAAACAGAAATCTTGCTGTCTAACTTTATTAACTGCAAAATCAATAACTTTTTTAATAATTTCTTCATTTTTAACTAATCCTAATCCTCTTAATGCATTTCTTTTTATTTCTGGTGTTTCTCCATTCAAATATAACTGACATAATTTCTCAAAAATTGGTTCTGTAGCATTTCTTCCAGCAATTGAACAAATTGGTTGTCTCATTTCTGCATCAATTTTACTTAAATCACCAACTTCAATAACATTAAAAGCTTCTTTGATACTTTCTTGGTTATTAAGAGTTGTTAAACATAAACTTCTTAACTTAGCATCTTCTATAGGTTCACCTGGAATAGTTTTTAATCCTAATTGTTGTAATGCAGGTCCAAGTAATCTTTCTCTTTGTTGAATAACAAATTGAGCAACTTCAGTTCCTCTAAAAACATTTTTAAGTTCAGCTAAATGTTCACAAACAACTCGTGCAACTTGATAAGTATCTGATACAAATGGTTTTAAAGTTTCAATAAAAGCGAGATAATTTTTTGATGAAACTTTACCAAGTTTACATAATGAATATAAATCATCAAGAATACCCATTGTTTCAATTTGACATAAGGTTTGGTGTTGAAGAATATTAAGTAATTGTTCAGAATATTGAACTCTATAAAATCCAGTACTCATAGTATTAGCAATAACATAAGGTTGATTCCATTCAATGCATGCACTTTTTTCTGTTAACAAATATGTTTGTTTATATTCTCCACATGAAAGAATCATTGGTATTTTCCATAATTGTTCTGATGTACATCCACATCTTTCTTGTGAAATAAATAATTTATTGTTCTCTATTTTAACTGAAACAACAGGAAAACCTGCTTTATATGTCCATTCTTGAACTATGTCTTTTAAATTAATACCACAAACTTCTCCAACACATTCCCACATCTCATCACTAATTGCATTTCCGTACATATACTTCTTCAAATATAAACTAATTCCTTTCATAAATTTATCAAATCCAACATAATTAATCATCATATCAATCAATGCACTACCTTTATCATATGAAATTAAATCAAATAATTGTTCTATATCACTAGCTTTCTTTACTGGAACACTAATTGGATGAGTTGAGATACATCCATCTGAATCTAGAGCTGGAAGAACTGACTCAAACTCATTTGAAACATTCATATGCCATTCAGGGAATAAAGTGGCTGTAGCAAATAAATCTCCCATATAACTAGCAAATCCTTCATTAAGCCAAAGATCATTCCACCATTTCATTGTAACTAAATCACCAAACCACATATGTGCTAATTCATGACATACAACACTGGCACAACGTTTTAATGATTGACTAGAAGCATTTTCTTGAAGAACAACTTCAGATTCACGTGAAGTAACACATCCCCAATTTTCCATTGCACCAGCTTCAAAGTCTGGTAAAGCTATCCAATCACATTTTGGTAGTGGATATTTAATATCATATGCTTGTTCATATAATGTAAGACATTTACTCATAGTTTCAAGAGCAAATTTGGATACATTTTTATGGTTTCTTGGGAAATGAAGTCCTAGTTTAATTCCTCTGACTGTTTCTCCATAATAACTAGTAAACTCACCATTAATAAAAGCAATTAAATAAGTAGACATCTTTAAAGTTCTTTCAAATTCAACAATTTTAAATTCTCCATGTTCTGTAACAACTTTAATTGGCATATTAGAAAAACAGTCATCTCCTTTAGGTACTTCCATTATTATATCAAAAGTGGCTTTATAATTTGGTTCATCAAAACATGGGAATGCTTTACGTGCAGAAGATGGTTCAAATTGAGTACAACAAATAATTTTAGTTTTACCATCAATTTCATATTTTGATTGATAAAATCCACATAAATCATCTGCAGGAAGACATCCATTATACTCAATTTCAATTTCATATTCTCTTTGTTCAAAATGAACTCCAGTAAAAATTAATTGTTCTTTTTCTTTATCTTCTTTGACAACTAGTTCATGAAGTTGAGGCTTAATACAACGAGATTTAATATCTTTTATTCCAACACCATTCAAAATAAGTTCATCTGTTGGTTGAATACAATTAATTACAATATTTGTTTTACCATAATTTAAACTTAGTGCAGGGTCAGGTTTAACATAGACTTTATAATGTAAAGGAATAAAGTTAGTTGGCAAAATTTCAGTCATTAAAGAATTATAAAGTTCTCAAAAATTTTTAGTTTAAATGATTGAAAGAACGTTTATGACGACTCATTAATACATCATTGAGGTTTATCAAATAAATCAATTAATTTAATGAAAGAGAAGACTAAATATATTCTGGTTCATCTTTTATTTCATTTTCTATTTGAATAGTGGTAGTTGGTTGATTTGTTATATTATTTTGAGGATTTTCTTCCTTCTCTTCTTTAATATTAAATTCCATCATTAATTCATTAACACTCATTCCTTCCCATACAGTAACATTTTTTCCATTCATATTAAAGTTATAATAGAAATCTTTTGTTTTACATTCATTTAGACATTCTTCAAATAATGAATCATCTTCTTTGTTTTCATCACCTTTACTTTCTTCTTCATTTCGAGGAAATTCCCTAACAATTTCTTGCATTGTTCCCATAGCACTCATCATTGGTTGCATAGATACTAATAAATCTTCAAAATTACCATCATCTGGAATATAAGTAAGGTTACGTGCTTTACAATACTTTTCAAGTATTAATTGAGCACCAAATACTCCCATCATATCATTAAATTGTGCATTTTTACCAGACATTTTTTGATGACCTTTCATGAAGGATTTAATAAATTGTTCAACACCTTTTAAATCATTTTTGAATAAAAGCCTAGCAGAATCAACAGTTTTTACAACAGTATCTTCAAAAAGATTCATCATAGCTTCTGGATATTTTTTACCATATTTTGTCTCAATTCCTTTAGCAGCATCAAGAAATGGAACAAGAGCAAATCGAAGAGCATCAGAAATAAAATAAAATGGATCACCTAATTCATTTTTTAATGACTTCATAATATTTTTATCAATTGGACGTACCCTATGTTCTATAAGATCTGTAACAATCATATTAGTTAATTCAACACTAGAAATATTTGGATATCCTTCTAAAAATTTATTTACTCCAACTTTCATTTTTTCCATAGCTTCATATCTACTTCCCATAAACTCAAGAATATCATCTGTATTAAATGAATTTAAACAAGCATCATATAATTTACCAAATATAGTAACACTATCATTCTTTCTTTTATAAAATGATTCATTATTTGTTTTACCTTGATATCGTTGACGTGCTGCACCATAAAGTTCTTCAAATGATTGTACAAATTCATCATATCCATCATTTTCATCTTCAACTGACTCAAGGTTATATTGATAATATGCTAAGTCTAAACAATTTGAAAAAAGGTCTTCATCACTCAAAGGTTTTGGTTTAGGTGGTGTTTGCATTTTTACTTTTTATTATCACAAATTTTTAGTTTTAACAAAATTTTCTTTATTTTTTTTTGATTAAAGCAAAGAAGAAAAAAACTAATAAACAGTAATAATATTTAATAATATTAATATAATTAATAAAAAACAAAATTTAAAAAATTATTTTTTGTTTTAGAATTATAATTTGTAGATGATAAAAAGAGAAAAAAGCATTTCATGAAATCAATTGTTGAAATATGTCAAAATGGAGGTACTAATGAATTAATAAAAATGATTGATGATGGAATGCCTTTTAATTCACCTGATGAAAATGGGATGTATCCTATTCATTATGCAGCATTATTTGGAAATGAAGCAGTTATTAGAGTATTAATAAAATATGGTGCAGACGTTAATGTACAAACAATCAATGGAAAAACTCCATTACATTTTGCTGTACAAGGAGGTAGATTAACATTAACTAGAATACTTCTTCATGACAATGCAAACCCAGCAATTGTTGATTCACAAAAGAATAATGCATTGACATTAGCATGTAAACGAGGATATTTACCAATCGCGGAATATATATTACTTCATTCAAATGGACTTGCACCAACAGCCATTGACTATTGTTGTAAAGAGAATTATATAAATTTAATTAGAATGTTTATTGATTATGTTACACCACA